TGCCGAGCAGGGAGCCCGATGCGGGACTCGATCCCGGGACTCCAGGATCATGACCCGAGCCGAAGGCAGTCGCTTAACCAACTGAGCCACCCAGGCGCCCCTGGACTCCTACTAATTTTGACTGTTTTTGTAGGACTAGGGGTCTCAAATCAGCTGGATTCTTGGGCTGTCATGTTACCTCTGAAACCCCTTAGGAAGGCACGGCATAATGGGCATCAACCTACTGGCTCTAAGTGCAACACAGTTAACGTTTCCTATAGGACTGGAACACAGTGTTTCAGTTGAGAGTACATAAAATTGACTTAGTTTAGAACTCACTTCTTAAGAACAATACTTATTTTTAAACACCAGAATTCACATGTGATGGCAAGATGCTTACACTGTGAAAGGCAGGTGGAAAACGGAGCTTCGAGTTCCCACATGGGAGTCTCTCTGTACAGAGCACATGCTCAGTGAAATGAATGGCTTACATTTAAATTGCTCTAGCTCCTCCTCTCTTTCAGGAAGTGAAGTCGAGGGTGGAGGAGGTGGCGGAAAGTGGGTGGCTAGGGAAAATCACACTTACAGTTAACTTTCAGTAAATTAAATGTGAATATGATGGGTCTCCAATGCCACACATCCTTCAAGGGCTTCTTGTGTTAACTGGGTAAATCCAAAATATAAAATGTTATCCAGCTGCAGGATAATACTACATTCTGTCAAGGAACGCTCTAAGAAAAATGTATATTTGTTTATCGGTTCCTTAAAACTAAAAACCATGCCTCCACAGGCTTCTAGTGAGGGCAGCCGTGATTATCTAATTCACATTTCTTACCCTCAGTACCTGTTACAGTGCCAGACAAAGGCAGTTGTGTGGTAAATGTAATAAACAACAGCAGGGCAACAGCCAGACACAAATCTAAATGAATGAAAAATTAAATTTGTATAAAGATATCTATTACTCAGGGGACACCTGGGTGGCTCAGTTACGCGCCTGCCTTCAGCTCAGGTCATGATTCCAGGGTCCTGGGATTGAGTCCCACATCAGGCTCCTTGCTCAGCAGGGAGCCTGCTTTTCCCTCTCCCTCTGCCTGCCACTCCCCCTGCTTGTGTGCTCGTGCTAACAAATAAAATCTTTAAAAAAATAAGTAAAAAAATAAAAGTAGACTGTTTTAAAAAAAGGTGTCTATTATTCAATACTTAGATTAAGATTGTTTTAAGATTTTTGAGGGGGAAAAAACAGTATTCTGTGCTAGGTTCCTAGGAAGAACATCCTATCATTTTTTTAATTCCTTAGCACCAAGCACAGGATCTAGCACAGAAAAAGGGCTCACTGAGATTTGTGACCCTTAATAATTACTAATAGTTACTGGACTGCTTACTATATTCCAGGCATTAGGCCAACTAACACTTTTATATGCATTACTTCCTGACTAACCCAAAGGCAGTTATTATGCTTTAGGGTCAGAATTTATTTTTTTTTAATTTAAATTCAATTAATTAACATAGTGTATTATTAGTTTCAGAAGTAGAGTTCAGTGATTCATCAGTCTTATATAATACCCAGTGCTCATAACATCACGTGCCCTCTTTACTGTCCATCACCCAGTTACCCCATCCCCCCACCTCCCTCTGCTCCAGCAACTCTGTTTCCTATGATTAAGAGTCTCTTATGGTTTGTCTCCCTCTCTGACTTCATCTTGTTTTATTTCTCCCTCCCTTCCCCTATGATCCTCTGTTTTGTTTCTTATATTCC